CAGTTGGTTTTGAACAGTGTGATTACGTAAGTTGCAATGTTATCAAGAAAAAACTACAGATGACGTCAAATATCATTTTAAAAAGTTCAATTTAGGGTGACAAAGTCTGAAATGGGATAGTTTCCAGGAAAAGTCGAAAAGTCAATTGCTTACCTCTCGCTCGAACTTATGATCAAACGCCAATGACACCTTTCCATAAGTACCGGAACCTAACTTCTTAGTAATTTCGAAACGATGCTTGACCTCCTTCTTCGCCGCGCTGGTGGGATCGGGTCCCGAAAGAGGGTGGCCACCTGAAAATATGACTATTGATTTCACTACAATAGCTAGAATTTACTGAATATTTTGTGATCTTTTTCCTCAGCACCCTGATGTTGCTGTTTTGGGAGATCTAGTATCTGTTGAACTTCCATGTTCCGCTCAAGCTTGCGAAAACTTTCTTAAGACATAAATTAGAACCCATTTTTGACCAATCTTTATTTAGTACATTCCCGTTCTATATGATAGGACTTGAAGAGTACGAGATTTTTTCGGCAACAATGCCGTGTCGCAGTCAGTTCCCCTCGGGAGCTCATTCCCGAATTCTGCTACTAGAAATATGTGACAAATGGGACAAAAATTGGATGGCTTTCGCCTTTGCACTCGTGAAGTACAATCTGATTAGGTCTTTACCATTTTTCAATGTCCATTTTTGGAAGCAAGAAAAAAACTTTTTGAAAAATTGTTTAACTGGGAGACAACACATAGGAAACAAGAGTCATATTAAATTTAATTCTACGGGAGGTAGTCTTGGAGATAATATGATTTGAATTTTTAAAAAAATTGATACCTTGTTTAATTCAAGAGGAATTTCCAATCATGAGATTTCCTCTAAATGAGTTTTCACGTCATTTTAGGTAGATAATTTATAGATAATTTATCAAAGATTTCCGAAAAACACAACATGTCCTTTTTTTAATTTCGCTAATGTTAGCCATTCAATTTTACCAAATTGAAATGATTACTATTGAGCCCTATATATCTTTCTTAGGCATAAAACGGCTATTTAAAAAGGGCTAGTCCCAAAACGATGTGATAATGTTTGGTTGAAGCAATGAATA